CCGAAAAGTGACTAAAACGACGCCAATATCAAAATGTCTTTTTTCGCGTGGATCGTCCTCCTGCTAATACTCTACTTTCTCTACTACCTTTTTGCCGTTGTAAAGGTAACGTAGAAAACTTTTTTGACTTGCGATGTTCTCGAATAAAACTTCTTTTTTCAGGAGCCCGAGTTTTACTGCGGTCCCGCCGACCTGCGTCGTTTCCTGGCGGCCAACTGTCCAGTCATCAGCAGCAAATACTGGCCAACTGTCTGGTGCTATCATGCCTACCCGCTGACGCACTTTTCCAACTCCTTTCGTATGAAACTGCGAAAGCACAAGTACCAACGGTACTGAATGCTTTATTTTTACTGTCAACAAAATCCATATATTATTTATTGAAAAAACCCAGAAAAATACTGCCCACCATCGATGGAGGACAATTTCCGATTGAGTGGTACGACCCAGAAGACAGGGGCCTGGAGGCAGTTTCAAAGGGCAACACCAAGCCGATCTGCTTTTTCGTCCCCGCTCTGGGGGACACTGCCCACTCGAGCAGCTTTCGTACAATGGTCCCAATCGCCTACAAAGCCGGTTACCAGCCAGTGGTGCTCAACTACCGTGGAATGACTTCAGTGCCGCTGCTCAATCCCGTAAGAAAGCTTTGATGTTTTTAGAACATTTAAAATAACTCCTTTCCTTTTAGATCATGTACTGCGCCGCCAACTTTGACGACATCAAGCACGCTCTAGAACACATCAAGGAGGAGAATCCAAAGACGATGATCATCGCCGCGGGCACGTCGATGGGCGGAAACCTGCTGGCAGGGTACCTCGCTGCCACAGGCAATGATTCGCTCATTGACGCCGCTTTTACAGTTTCTGTCCTCTGGGACTGCGTCCGAGGGACGAAGAACCTCGATGAGGGCTGGCTCAATCCGAAGATCAGCCAGCAGTTGTGTAAGATGCTGGTGCGGCTGGTGCGCCGCCATCAGCACATCTTTGAGCAGTACCCGGAGTTTGTGGCCGGCGACCTGGAGCGCGTCAAGACGATTCGTGATTTTGACGAGCTCTTTACGAGAAAGGTACTAATGGGTTGACCATTTAATTTGCGATAAAAATTGATTTTGAGTTATTTTTCTTTCTGTTTAGATGTTTCTGTTTGACAGCGCCGATGACTACTACCGCGCGTCCAGTCATCAGGATAAGGTGCACTTGATCAAGGTGCCACTGCTGACGATACAAGCGGCTGATGATATGATGGCATTAAAAAAAGGTAATACAGGAGAAACTAGTCATCAATCTTTCTCTCCCGTCAACTGATCATTACGGTTAGATTAGTATTTACTAGTAATTTGATTATCTCTTTTTTCTCTTGTTTTTTTGTTTACCTGCTCTTCAGACCTGCCGATTGAGGCTGTTCGGCGGTCAGGCCACGTCGCCATGGTGATCACGCCTCGAGGTGGCCACCTCGGCTTTATGGACGGCTGGAACTTCTTTGGAAGGCCTCGAACGTACGTCTCTGATCGCCTTTTTGATCAGTACATCAGAGCGCTGCTGACTTTAAATGAGAACCCGCGAAGCGTCTTCAAAGGGCAAATACTAGTTGGGTGATATGATCAGAGAAAAAAGCTAAACAACAACAACAACAAAAGCAAAAAAAAGTACCTCGTTATTGCCCATTTTTCAAAATATAGATTTTTTATGTTAACGACTGGAACTGTGCAAATTAGCATCTGTGACTGAAAGACTAAAAACGGAGAAAAGAAGAAAAAAGTAAGAAGAAAAATGGAAAAAATCAACGTTTTTTGGCTTGAGACACAGAGAAAAAGTAAAGTAAGCNAAACTGTGCAAATTAGCATCTGTGACTGAATGACTGAAAACGGAGAAAAGAAGAAAAAAGTAAGAAAAATGGAAAAAATCAACGTTTTTTGGCTTGAGACACAGAGAAAAAGTAAAGTAAGCTCAAGTGTCTGCAATTACGGTAGGCGATAAAGTGTGACTGTACGAACGATCAAGTGCGGAGAAAAAGTTGAGTTTTCTTGCGTGTGTACAACCGGTTCGAATGCAGCAGTCAGAAAAAACAGCAAAAGTGTACTGAAAGTGTTCGATAAAGTCGAGATTGAGCCGTCGGCAGTGCTCCAAACTCAATCTCAGTGTGCATGAAAGCAACAGATGGAACTCGAGACAGGCTCACCTTTTGAGCCTCTTTCCCAAAGTACAGTGTACTCTTTCTGTTTTTCTAGTTTGCCTACCTGTGTACATCATCCAAGATACTGCTGCTGCTGTTGCTAATGTCCTTTTTGTTGACTGCTCACATGAATGAACTTCAGATCTTGAGAGAGACTTTTTCTTTTGTTCAGAGGAGTTGGAAAAAGGAGAGAAAGACATTATGTGAAAGACAAAGAGAAGGAAAACATTAGTTATTTTTGAGCAATGACTAGACTAGACAGTTATCAAAGTGTTGATTTTCCTTCAACGAGTCAGTTAGTTAGTCAATCAGTTTTCTTCAATAAATCAGTTACCAATCTTTTTGCAAGTTTTGTACACTAAAAGTGTACTGTAACTGAAAAGTTTATTTCCTTCAAAAATCAAACAAAAACAACAAAAAAATGTCGCTCTGGACGTGGGTGGCTGTTTTACTTATTCTCTACTTCCTCTACTACTACTTTACTGTCGTCAAGGTAACAAAACTGATGGTTCAAAAGATTTTAGATTTATTTTCTTACAAAAATCAATCATTTACAGAAACCAAACTTCTATTGCGGTGCGGCTGATTTCCGCCGTTTTCTGCAGGCCAACTGCCCAGTTATCAGCAGCAAGTACTGGCCGACGGCCTGGTGCTACCACGCCTACGCGCTGACGCACTTTTCTACCGTTTTTCGGTTAAAGATTCCTAAACTGCGCTATGCCCGTGAGATTATCCCTACTGTTGATGGGGGGCAGTTTCCCATTGAGTGGTACGACCCCGAGAACCGGGGCCTGGAGGCAATTTCAAAGGGCAACACTAAGCCAATCTGCTTCTTTGTGCCGCCTCTCGCCGACACTGCCCAGTCGAGCAGTTTCCGTACAATGGTCCCAATCGCCTACAAAGCCGGCTACCAGCCAGTGGTGCTCAACTACCGGGGCATGACTTCAGTGCCGCTGCTCAATCCCATCATGTAATGCTGTGCTTTGTGTTTGTGCTTTTAAAATTTTAATTTTTAACTTCTAAATTTTAAGGTACTGCGCCGCCTACTTTGACGATTTGAAAGAAGCGCTGGATCAGGTGAAGCAACGCAATCCAAAGTCGCTCATCATCGGCGCCGGCTGCTCAATGGGCGGTAAGTAGAAATTTTATTAAACTTAATGAAACATCTGATTTAATTTTATCGTTCTTTTTCCAGGCACCATTTTAGCGGGCTACTTAACCCACTCTGGAAAGGAATCGCTGTTGGACGCAGTCTTCATGGCCTCTACCGTATGGGACTGCGTGGCGGGCACGAAAAACCTCGAGACGGGCTGGCTCAATCCGAAGATCAGCACCTTCCTTTGTGCAATGCTAGTGAAACTGGTCCGCCGCCATCAGCACATGTTTGAGCAGTACCCGGAGTTTGTTGCCGAAGACCTGGATCGCGTGAAGACGATTCGAGACTTTGACACTTGTTTTACTTCGAAGATGTAAGTACTGTAATAAGCATTTTAGTTTTGTAAATCTCAATCATTCCAAAACTTAGGTTCCTCTTTGAAACCTGCGACGACTACTACCGCGCTGCGTCGCACAAGGACAAGGTCCACCTGATTCAGGTGCCCACACTGGTCATTCAGGCGGCTGACGACATGATGGCCCTAGAAAAGGGTAAAAAATGTTATAAACAAAACCTGAACATTTTAATTAAAACATCTTTACCAGACATTCCAATTGAAAATGTCCGCCGCTGTGGACATGTGGCAATGATGGTCACTCGAAATGGCGGCCATCTCGGTTTTATGGACGGGTCACTAAAGCCTGGGCCCAGAACATATGTCTCAGATCGACTGTTTGACCAGTACCTAAGGGCGCTGTTGACGTTGAAGGACAACCCACGGAATGTCTTTAGGGGGCCGCAGTGTGGGTAGGTTAGGAAACAAATTATAATTATCATCTGTTTATTCGAGTCAAATGTCGCCTTTTTAAAATTGATAATCAAAATCACTAAAATTGATAAATGAAATGATAACCAAAAATAAAGTTAAGATACCCTGGGTTAAAGGGGAGGCGCCCAATGTACTTGAAAAGTGGCATGCAGACTTTGCTAAAGACGAGAGCGAAATGTACCGAGTACAGCGTACCTACAACAGAGGCAGCAGCAACAGCAGCAGGCTTCCACTCTCAACACAACAACAGCCTCTCTTCAAGCTGTTTGTCTCTTGAGCTGCCATAAAAGCAGGCTACAAGGAAAGTGGGCTGAGAAAAAGCTAGGTAAACAAACACTGACTGACTGTCTTCACATCACAATTTTGCTGTTACTCTCTCCCTTCAATTCCACGTCATTTGAATCTCATTTTGTGTCACCACAATAAAAAACCAAATTACAACGATGATTGCCAACACAGGGTACGTGTTTGTTTTCGTTGTAAACACGTTTGGGTATTTGAATTATTTTGTTTTCATTTTTTCCAGTGCATTTCTAGGCAAAACGGTCTTCGTAACAGGTGGCAGCAGGTAATTGTACTGAAAAGCACTGTTTTGAAAACATTTTATTCAATTTTTTAAACTTTCAGAGGAATCGGCCGAGCTATTGCACTGAAACTCGCCAGAGACGGCGCAAATGTGGCTATTGCGGCGAAAACGGTAGAGAAGCACCCAAAGCTAGAAGGGACCATTTATTCAGTGGCAGAAGAAAGTAAGAAAAAGCTCTCATTACGTTAACAAGCAAACTTATCAACACATTTTAAACTTTTTTACAGTTGAGAAAGCCGGCGGCAAAGCACTGCCCATTCAGTGCAACGTCCTCAACGAGGAGGACGTCACAAAGGCCATTGAGGCGACTGCCACAAAATTCGGCGGTCTGGACATCCTCATCAACAATGCCAGCGCCATCAGCATCACCGGAACGGAAGATTTGCCCATGAAGAAGTACGATCTGATGAACAACCTCAATGCTCGCGGAACGTTCATGACCAGCAAGTACGCCGTGCCGCACCTGAAGAAGAGTAGCAACGGGCACATTCTGACGATGAGTCCGCCTCTTCTCCTGGACCCGAAGTGGCTGAAGGACAACACCGGATACGCCATTGCCAAGTACGGCATGTCGATGTGCGTGCTGGGCATGGCCGAGGAGTTCAAGGGCGAAATCGCCGTGAACGCTCTCTGGCCGAGGACGATGATCTACACCTCGGCGATGAACCTGTTGGGCGGCATTGAGACGCTGGGCAAGCACGCCCGCACGCCGGACATTCTCGCCGACGCCGCCTATCTCATTCTCCAGCGGAACAAGGCTACGGAGAAGGCGGGCAACTTCTTCATTGATGAGCCTTTCCTGCGGGAGCACGGCGTCACCGACTTTGAGGAGTACGCGGTGAAGAAGGGCGAGCAGCTGGCAGCGGACATTTTCATTCCCGATGAGCTAATGGAGGGACTCATTGGTTTGTGAACACACAAAAATGATAATAAAATGGGCATTTTTNAGATAATAAAATGTGCATTTTTACTTTTTTGTATTTTATTTTTATCAAAGGTCGCAAAGATCGCCTGGAGCGATTGGAAAGGAACAAACTGTAATTTGTTTTTTAAAACTCGCTGTACAATAAATGAAAGCAATTTTTACAAGTATCAGTTTTGGCTTGGTTTTCAGTTTTTATGTTGTCAAAGTAATCAGCAGTTGAGTAGAAAAAGAGAGATAAGTGTCAGCGACACTAATGTACCCGATAAATGGAAAACTGTGAGCGGCAACTAACTGTCAACAAAAAAAACGACACAAAAGCTAGCTTCTTTCTTATTTATACGGTTTACAGTCTTTCACTTGCCAGCCAAAGATGATACCAAACACTGGGTATGTGCCTGCCTAGTGGAAAACAAAGTGCCTGCTCAAACTTACCAAATTTTTCAGAGCATTTCTAGGTAAAACTGTTTTCATAACAGGTGGCAGCAGGTATTTAAAAAGAAAATTGGCTTTCACAATTGTTTACATCTAAAACAATTAATTTTCAGAGGAATTGGCCGTGCAGTCGCCCTAAAACTTGCCAAAGACGGTGCCAATGTGGTTATAGCGGCTAAAACGTCGGAAAAGCATCCCAAGCTGGAAGGTACCATCTACTCGGTGGCTGAAGAAAGTAAGTGCCAACTTATAAACACAAAACAATTACTTACAAATCTTTTAATGAAATTCACAGTTGAAAAAGCCGGTGGAAAAGCTTTGCCCATTAAGTGCAACGTCCTCAACGAGGAAGACGTCACGAGGGCCATCGAGGCGACCGCCACCAAGTTTGGCGGCTTGGACATCCTCATCAACAATGCCAGCGCTATCAGCATCAGCGGCACTGAAGATTTGCCCATGAAGAAGTACGATCTGATGAACAATCTCAATGCTCGCGGCACTTTCATGACCAGCAAGTACGCCATTCCGCACTTGAAGAAGAGCAGCAACGGGCACATTCTGACGATGAGTCCGCCGCTTTTGATGGACCCAAAGTGGTTTCAGCACAACACTGGCTACACCATTGCCAAGTACACAACAGTTTTGCTATGTTAAGAATAACTTAAATGTTTAGTAAACTTCATTTTTGTTTTNGTACGCCATTCCGCATTTGAAACGAAGCAGCAACGGGCACATTTTAACGATGAGTCCGCCGCTGCTGATGGACCCAAAGTGGTTTCAGCACAACACCGGCTACACNTTTAGTAAACTTCATTTTTGTTTTATAGGTACGGCATGTCGCTCTGCGTGCTGGGCATGGCCGAGGAGTTCAAGGGCGAGATTGCCGTGAACGCCCTCTGGCCGAGGACGGTGATTGCCACTGCTGCAATGAACCTAGTGGGCGGTTTTGACGCCCTAGCCAAGCACTCCCGCACGCCGGACATTCTCGCCGACTGTTCGTACTTGATTCTGCAAAAAGACGCCAAAAGTGGGCAAAACACAGGACGCTTCTTCATTGATGAGCCACTGCTCAGGGAAAATGGGGTGACCGATTTTGAGCCGTACGCTGTACAGTCTGGAAAACGGCTGATTTCCTCAATCTATGCGCCCGATGAACTGATGGAAGGGCTGATCAGTAAGTGATGCTTGTAATTGTTCTTAATAAAAGTATTTTACAAACACTTTTTCTAACAGGTCGTCAGGAGCG